AGGATGCTGCTGTGCAGAAGAAGGTTAGACATGCGAAGCGGGAGGGCGTCAAGGTGATTGAGACGAAGCAGGGTGAGCTTCCGCCGGAGGATATCGTGAAGAAGGTGGATGAGAGGATTAAAGAGTGGACTGCAGAGAGGAAGAATAAGGGCAAGCAGATGCATCTTACGGAGCTTGCGCCGTGGAGGGACTATGAGCACCGGTTATACTTCGTCGGTGTCACTTATGAGAATGGAGGCGATCCCAAGGTCCATGCCCTGGTTGTCCTTACGCAACTTTCGCCGCAACATGGGTGGCAAGTCAAGTGGGCGTTGGATTTCAAGGATGCGCCGAGGTATGTTTCGATCTGATTTCTTGTTTCTGGCTCTCGTACTGACTACTTTCTCTAGCGGTACAATCGAAACGACCGTTTTGACAGCTCTCGACGCCGCTGCTGGTACGGGAGCTCACTGCGTCACTTTCGGTGCTGGGGCTTCGTCATCACTCGCACCACACCATGGGTTTAACAGTCGGAACCTCATCGTCAAGTCTTTGGAACACCTGTACCAGGTGCTCGCAACAGAGTTCAAGCTGTATGGCAAGAGCGAGTTTAGGCAGAAGATGGGAGCTGTAGAGGATCCTGTCTACGTCTGTTTCGGAAAGGGCGCCATGGGTGTTCGAGGCGTTCGGGCGTTGATGGGATTCGTCGGCGACGGAGAGTAGATGAATAGTTCTAGATGTGGATTGGCGTTTGACATATGCACGATTTCATGTTTTTCTTGCATCATTTTCTTCTTCTATTTCTTCTTGACTTTGGCGGTTGTCGTTTCGACTTTTTTTGTTGTTTGTAACTTTGCTACTCTACACTACGATTTAGGTTTCATTCTTTACCCCCCACCCCCAAATACCTTTACACGCGCGGACTTGTACTATCTTCAACCTTTTAACTCAGTATTTGTAGACTAGTCTGGCTGCTTCGTTTCCACAGATTCACGTACTTACCTGTGTTTAGTATAATGCTCCTTAGTAGTCAATGATAGAGATACACGAACCTGTTTGCATTTCTGCGTTTTGGCTGCTTCTGCCAAGTTCTTCCTCCTCGAAGTAACCGCACAAGAATCGGGGTGGGCAAGTACGCGGCGAAACAGGACCTACTTACACATTCTTAGCTAGACCTGACGATTGGGTAGCAAAATCACTGAGTTGATTGAAAATGAATGGAGGATTGGTTGTTCAGTACACCGTTCGGGAATCGAACCCGAGCCGCTTGCTGGAGCCGTTCTGTTTCAGAAATGGAAGGCAAGCATGATAACCACTTCACCAACGGTGTGTACAAGCCTCATTCCTTTGGCCCATCTCATCATAAAAGGTCCCCGAATTCAGATTCGGACATTACAAACAGTTGTAGTACAGATCTGGATAGTATAAAAGCAATCAAAATAGAGAAAACGTTGCACGAAAACCTCACATCTCGGATCGTGATGTGAGCTACGATAAAGCCGGTGTGGAGGCCGAGGGACAGTGTTGATGGTACTCACCAGAGTCAGCCAGGGTCGCGCCTTGTTTCCTGTCCACCACCACTAGGATTGGGAAATCTTCATGACAATGTGTCTTCACGCATTTGTTCGATCCTTTGAACTTCTGTCCCAACCTGAATATCTGCCGGTGCGCTCCATCGTATGAGCACGAGCACGCGCTCGTGAGCTCGTAATCAATCCAAAATTCTTCACATTGCGATCATGATCAATCTTGTTCTCAGCCTTGAGGTTCTCATTCCAATTCTGAGCGAGGTCAAGGTTTTGGACAGAGGTCGGAGAACAAGTTCAAGATGGCGTCTTCACTATCTACGAGATTCACAAGGCTCTTAGGCACGCCTACACCTTCGATTCGATTTCGATGAATATTGATCGAAACTTTATCTCTCTATCTTCAGGTATAAGAACTCCAATTGCCCTAGCCCCAATGGGAGGCGTTGCCCGATCCGAGCTAGTATTGGCAGTTACAAAAGCAGGAGGGTTTGGGTTTCTAGGTGCAGGTACGGATAAAATTCATCCCCTTTGAATGTACGCTTACCTACCTAATACTATTACGATCGCTTACTTGCAGATGAAGACTCTTCTGACACACTTCTCTCCGAGCTCGCAATAATTCGATCTGAACTGAAGCTTGGAGAGGACGACGTTCTTCCTATCGGCGTAGGGTTTCTAGGCTGGGTTTTGGATGGTACTGAGGCTCCAGACTCGGAGGAGCAGGATCCGAGATTGGAGAAGGTGTTGGCGGAGAAACCGAGGGCAGTCTGGTTTGCTTTTGGCCATGAAGGTGAGGATGGGGAAGGCTTGGGGAGATATGTCAGAAAAGTCCGGGAATACGACGCGAGGAGACCTGGGGAGTATAAAACATTGGTCTTCGTGATCGTGAATTCTGTGGAGGATGGAGTGAGAGCTACAAATGAGTGGGGCGTGGATGGGCTGGTTGTGCAGGGCGAGTAAAATCCAGGTTCGCCTCTGTTCCTTCTTCAGACTCAAATGTTGTATGGGATCTAGGTAACGAAGCTGGTGGCCACGGATCAGCTACCGCTCCTCCTCTCTCTGTCCTATTGAGCGCAATAATCGACGCTCTCCCCTATACCCAAGATTCTGACATCACTAAGGAGGGACCCATCATCCTCGCCGCAGGCGGTATTGCCACCGGCTCACAAATCGCGTCTGTCCTCGCCCTAGGTGCATCAGGTGCAGCATTAGGCACCCGTTTCCTCTTCACGCACGAGGCTGTCTTCCCTTCACTACATAAGGATGTCATTCTCCAAGCCGGTCGCTCTGGAAACTTGAATAGCACGCGAAGGAGTACCGCGTTCGACGAGGTTCGAAGGAGAGATATATTGTGGCCCGATGGGTTAGATGGAAGGGCGATTGTCAACGGAATTTCGGAGGATGTGGAGGGAGGAATTGAGCTGGAGGAAAGGGTGAGGAGGTACGAAGAAGGGAGAGCAAAAGGTGAGAGCGAGAGACTGGTGGTGTGGGCCGGGACGGGCGTTGGCTTGACGAGGGAGATTCGGAATGCGGGGGTACGTCTAGATCTTTCCCAGTCTGTCTTCGATGTCCGGTTGTTAACGGAGTTTTATCTTCTCTTTCTGTGATTGAACCGACAGGGGGTCGTAAAGGAATTACATGCGCAGACCGTGCAAGCATTGAGACGTGCTTCCACACTTGTGGTTCCTGATTGACGTACTTGAAGATCAATGGGCTTGTTTTGGGCTTGGCTCTGGGTAGTCAGATGGGGTTTGTTTTAGGAGGCTGGAAGAGCGATACGTCGTGGACATGTAGGTACAGTGCAACTTGCACCGGTATGATTGACGAACTTCGAAGCACTTCAGCACTAGAAAAGCGGGCCAGTCATGATGATAGTTTGGGTTCCGAAGATTGATGTTATATACGTGGACGGGAGAGTGTGATGATCTTCAACCTGCGGATAAATGGCCTGGTTGAATGGACGAAGGCTCAGCCGTCAGTACTAATGAGGAGAGACCGCCGATCTGGAGTTGTAGATTGAGACGTTGAATGGGCTCAAGCAGCTTGAGTTATGTAGCTTCGTGATCTTTTCTGAGTTCAACAGAATGGGGCCTGAAGTAACATGGGGCGTGGGAATCCGAGGCACAGGCGGGTTGTGGGTCCTTGTTAGGCCGTTGCCTGCTCTTCAAGCGTGACCATAACCTTTTTACCATGTGCCTTCGAATTCATCCCCCCCCTCAAAGTCGTTCAGAGTGACCTCGAACCCTCCTCAGACCGCCAAGTTCCTCTCCCCATCTTTCCTTTCCAGTAGCATGGTGATTGACAACTGTCATACATGGCTGCTGGCATGCGGTAACAGTCTCAATTGGACGACTGAACAACCTTACTGACTACGTAACCATAGCCAAGACATTTCTGAGTGAAAATCTCTACCAAGCGTAAACGTGCCTGCGTGAACGCTACCATTCTATTGGCTTTCTTCCACCCCTACCGATAGCTCGCACCTTCCCTTCGAATGTTTGCGTCCCCTTCAGTCGCGTTTCGTTCTCGTTCTGCTCCCCTCCTTCACTGGTGATACATGAACCATCAAAAGCAATCTATCAGTACCTGTTCCGCCTCGTTTTGTTCGATCAAACACGAGAAACCTCGCTGTACAGCGGATCTTCCCGTGGGTACCTATGGGATGGTTGCCACGGTCCACCGCGCTGACGGAGGTACCATTCCGTTGGGACTCGGAAAAGGCGTTAGTGATATTCA